ATCCTTCTTGACTACTTCTTAAAAGAGCCTTAAAAAATACCGCATTGAGGAACTTTCCAAGCCTCTCCTGGGGGCCTGGAGACCTTTCGACATTTTGAACATCTCGCTACCTTTTAGTCCAGAAGGCAACACTTTACAAGTCTTTAAGTGACTTTCTGAGCTTCCCATGCCACAGCCGCCCCCAGTTCTTTTTGACATCTGCATCTCTAAATTTAGTCGCTGTCTCTCTGGGAAGCTAGGATGCTATGGGACCTCCTTCTTAGGATTTCTAGAGGCCCTTTTGTCTATCAGGGAGTATCTACTAGGGACCATCTTAATTCTTTCAAGGTTTCAACAAAGGCACTGAGAGCCATGCCCCTGACTGAGACCAAGCAGTTTCATTTCCAATCCAGAGGACTCAGCCTCTCTCTCACATGGATCAGCGAACTACAGCACATGGGCTAAGTCCTGCCCACTGCTTTCTGTGTTGCTAGCAAGCTTGCAATGATTTATGCATTTTTAAACAGTTGACAGAAAACCAAAAGAAGATTTCATGAAACATGAAACTTATTTAAACCTCGAAGTTCCACATCCATAAATACAGTTTGGTTTGAACACAAGCACGCCCATCTATGTGCATATTGTCTGGGGCTGCTCTCTTACTCCTGTGGCAGAGTTGAGTAACTGCTATAGAGATGGTTCAGCCTGCACAGCCTGGTTCCTGACTCCCTCTGACTAGCCTCTGCTCGAGAATTGGCAGAGCTCAGAATCGTTCATCTTTTTTGTAGTACTTTATATTCAACCAGAAGCAACCACTTGACTTTCATAATTCTGACTGGAAATTATCTTGCCAAGTTTCTCGAGTTCATTAAGTACATTTTTTACCTTCCAAATTACCACTGGCAACAGTTTTGCCACTTCACAGCACAGGCTTCCATTTTCCCAACCTCCTTCTTTCCATTTTCTTTTCATTTTTCTAGATTATATTTTAGGAAACTTTTTCCATCCAGCAGGTCCCAAAAACAATGCCACATTCTTGTTATTTTTATGGAAACCTCCAGTTTCTAGATACTGATTTCTGTCATTTATCTATTGCCACAATAACACTGCATTACAACAAACTATAAAACCCTGGTGTATATGGTGATATGCCTTCATTGAGCTCACGTGGTTGTGAGCAGCCTGTGATAGACTGAGCTGGAGTGCTAGACCCTTATCCTCACATCTTTCACTCCCCAGCAGCTTGCTGGAGCATGTCCACAGGCAGTGGTGGAGAGACACAATGCTTTCCCAAGCCTCTGCCCACAACACGTCTCCTCAAATCCATCCCACTGACAAAGCATGTCATGTGGCATAACTCAGATATGAGGATTGGGAAAATGCATCACACCTCCTGATGGGAATGACTACAGAGACACGTGGCAAAGGGCTTAGATGCAGGAAACCATAGAGAACTGGATCCATGAATATAGTTCGTGTCCTCTGAATTCGTTTACTATTTAACAGATTATGTAAACACTTAACACAGTATAACTCTTTTCCCCCCTTCAACTCCTTATGCTATTGTTCTCTGTTTTACTTCTGCACATTATATTGCCATTATTGTTGCTTTAAACCTTCAGTCCTTGAAAATAGTTTTCAATAGTCTCATGTTCAACCACATCCAAGAAATGATTGACCCAAAGCCCAAATTCAGGTCACCCTGAAACCAGGACCACTCACCTCCCAGCAAGTTTAATCTTACAACTATCTGCACCCCAGTGTCTGCAGGAGGGGTGTGTGTGGTAGGTGGGGAGATACACATCCACCATCTCTGCAGGCCCGGATCATCCCCACCCTCCAAGGGGCTCTCATTCCAGTGACCCGGCCCTCTCTCCCTCCTCAGACATCAGCATCATTCCACGTGCCTGTTCTTTGTCTCTTTCTTTGGCCCTTAGGGACAAAGTTGGATTCATTCTAATTCTTAGTTCAAAAAATTCTCCGGTTCATGTATGGTTCATCTCTGGTTCATGTATGGTCTTCTTTTCTGTTTGTTTGTAATAATTTGGTGCATTCCCATGTATACAGCTCTTAGGGAGATTGGACAGTGACATTAGCTTGTATTTACTCCGTGGTCCTGTCCCATCCTGACCCTCTGGGTCTCCTCATTTGAGGGAGCTTCTCACCACAATTTTTTTTTCTTTTTTTATTGTGTTAAAATACAAATAACATAAAATTTGCCATCGTAACCATTTTAAATGTCCAGTTCAGTGGTATTAAGTACATTCACATCAGTGTGCAACTGTCACCACCAACAATCATTAAAGTTCTTTTAATCTTGTAAAATCTGAAACACTATACCCATTAAACAATAAATCCCCATTTCCCCCTCCTATCAACACCTGGCAACCACTCACCATTACACTTTCTGTCTCTATGATTATGACTGAGTATCTCATATAAGTGGAATCATTCAGTATTTGTCCTTCTGTGACTGGCTTATTGCACTTAGCACAAGGTCCTCAAGGCTCATCCTTATAGCATATTGCAGAACTTCCTTCTTTGGAAAGCTGAATAATAATTCATTGTATGTGTATTCCCTACTTTGGTAATCCATTTACTGGTCAGTGGACACTTGGTTTACTTCCATCTTTTAGCTATTATGAATAATGCTGCTATGAACATGGGTGTACAAATGTCTCTTCAAGACCCTGCTTTCAAATCTTTGGGGTAGATATCAGGAAAAGGAATTGCTGAGTCAAATGGTAATTCTATTTTTAATTTTTTTGAGGAAACTCCATACTGTTTTCCACAGCGGCTGTACCCTTTTACATTCCCACCAACAGTGCACAAGGATTTCAATTTCTCCACATCCTCGCCAACACTTGTTGTTTTCTGTTTTTTGATAGTAGCCATCCTAATGGGTGTGAGGTGCTATCTTATAGTATTAATTTGCTTCTCCCAAATGATTGGTGATATTGAGCATCTTTTCATGTGCTTATTGGTCATTCATATGTCTTCTTTGAATAAATGGACGAAAGTCCTTTGCCCATTTTTAAATCAAGTTCGTTGTTTCATTGTTGAATTTTAGGAGTTCTTTATATATTTGGGGTATTAATCCCTTATCAGGTGTATGATTTGCAAAGATTTCTTCCAATTCTTTGGGTTGCCTTTTCACTCTAGTAAATAGTGTCTTTTCATATACAACATTTTAAATTGTTCATGAAGTCTAATTTGCCTGTTTTTCTTTTGTTGCCTGTAGTTTTGGTGTCATAATCAAGAAATCATTGCCATGTGCAATGTTATGAAGCTTTTGTCCTTTTAAAATCTATAGAACCTTAATTTGTGGCCTAACATGGTCTAGCCTGGAAAATGCCAAGTGTGCACTTGACATAACGTATATGCTGTAGTTGTTGGGTGAAGTGTTCCGTATATGTCTGTTATATCTAGCTGGTTTATAGTGATGTTCAAGTCCTCTGTATCTTTACTTATCTTCTGTCTGGTTGTTCTTTCTATTATTGAGAGTGGGATATTGAGGTCTCCAACCATTATTGTAGAACTTTCTATTTCTCCCTTCAGTTTGTGGGGTTTTGCTTCATGTCTTTTAATAGTGTGTCATTATGTGAGTAAATGTTTATAATTGTTCTATCTTCTTGCCCTCATGGTAGCAAACCCCTGTGTCTGCAGTAGCAGGTAGACCAGGCAGACACCTGGTTTTACCCATGTAGTTCTTGGACCCAGAGTTTTCAGGGACACCTTGTTTCAGACCTTGTTTCTGCCCTTCCTGCAGAGTAATGCACCTGTGCCAGGCCGTGGGGGCAGGAGTATACGGTGCCCCTCCCACCACCACCACCACCACCACCACCACTGATGGAAGGCTTCTACTCCATGCAAGAAGGGAAGCAGGCTGTTTTCTGGGTCTCCAATGGCAGCTGGCCATCTCCTGAACACCAGCACTGAGGGGCCTTCTCTCTGGTCACTGCCCTGTCCCCAGTATTCCTCATAAGCTCCCAGTGGAGACCCGAGGAAAGACCTACCCATGAGTGCCAACCTCTCTCTTCTGGTTTCCTATTATCCTGAGCTGACATGCTGCCAGCATTGAAAAACTAATTGAAATTACAGTTGACTTCTTCCCACCCACCTCTGTGTTGTACCTCTTCCTTTGTGCCCTGTCAAAGGTGAGACAGCTTGTGCCAGGCTCATCACTGTGGTCCTCTGTCTGCCTGGTTTTGTGTGGCCTCAGTGTCCATATGAGCATGACAGGGATATTTCCCCTCATCTCTATGCTGTCTTCCCCAATGTCCTTGGTATCCCATAAGACTCCACTGTTGACTGGTTGGAACTCAGCCTCTCAGCCCCATATGAGCTCTGGGCACTGTGAAGTCCAACCTGGCCACTCTCTGCCCTCTCTGTAGAATTGTACCTTCTGCAGACCTGGCTCAGGGTCCAGCAGCAGACTGTGGGTACCCAGTCCCCTGTGTGCCCTCTGGGGCTCTTTCTCTCTGGAGAACCCTCCTCTTCCCCTCAAGGTACATATGCATCAGCTCCAAAACGAATTCCCCAAATACAGCCCCCCTTCAGCCCTGGTCAGAAGGTCTTCAGCCTGTAAGAATGGCTCCTTCCGGTCAGGCTGGGGTAGAGCCATGGGACCCACTCACACATTGGTCAGGAAAAATCAAGGTTTCTGGGACCAATTACTATATCCCATGGCACAGAGAGGACACAGGAGTGACACCCGCAAAACTCGGAGGTTCCTTGCTTGTACACACGTTGTCAGCCCCACAGTCACACAGGCATTGAGCTGTTGGAGCTGTTTGCACTCAAGCTGCAGCAGTGGGAAGGAAATGGGCTCAACTGGGTCCTGGCTCTTCTGTATCTCTTAGAAAGTTTCATGTGTTTATAGTCACACTTCACTGGCCAAAGCCTGACTCCCAGTGCAGAGAGTGGGGCCACCAGAGGGCAGGAGCAAAAGAAGCCTCTGGATGTGTTCTGGGGACAGGCTTGGGAGGACCTCGCACAGAGCTTGCACTTCTTTCTGACAGGTGCCTCAAACCACCTGCAGGAGGCGCAGCTACCTCTGATCCCGTTGCGTCTATGCCAGCTGCTGTATGGACACACATCGTACCTTCTGCCAGACATGATGTGTGCCGGGGACCTCAGGAATGGGAAGACTCCATGTGAGGTGTGTCCCACCACGGGGACGGTGGACCAAGTCTGTGGCTTTCATGTGTTCAACTGCTTTGAGCCACCAGGGGCACTTCTGAGTGGGTGGGTGGTCCCACAAGGCCTGGCCCCTGAGGGGGTTGGGAGCACATCACCATAGGCTGGGCAGGAGACCTCAGGGTAGCTTATGTGCAGATAGGACACAGGCCTCAGTCAGTGCCCAGTGCCACGTGGACCCCAGAGCTGGCTGGGGCAGCCCAAGGCTCTGTGCCTGCTTGGAGGCTGTGCCTGCTGACTGTCGCCCTGTGGCACATTCCCTGCTTTCCTGAAGCAGGGCCTGGCACTAGCAAAGTGGAACTGCGGAGTGAAGTGGCTCTGGGCCCAGCCCTGCAGGGTGGGTGCTGGGCCACCCTTGTGCAGGAGGCAGTAGTGGGCCCCAGTCTCCTGGTTCACAGGCAATTCCTCTTTTCTTCCAGGGTGACTCTGGGGGCCCACTCGTTTGTGAATTCAACCGCGTCTGGGTGCAAATTGGAATAGTGAGCTGGGGCCGTGGTTGTGCGTTCCCTATGTATCCTGCAGTTTATGCCCGAGTCTCCTATTTCTCAACATGGATCCGTCATCACATAGAACACACACCCCCACCTCCTCAACCACTGCCTGCCCTCTCCTCCTCTTTGGGAGCCGCTGTCAGTGTCCTAGTGACCATGCTGGCTGTCCTGCCAATGCTGTGAAGGCAAGGCCCCCACCCCCAGCTTCCTTATACTGCATGCCTCTGTCCCTGCCCAGCTCAGCCCCTCAGGTCTCTGGGCACCTGAGTGAGGTGAGGGCCACCAGCTGGGCCAATGCAGGATCAGGAAGGGGCTGAGCCAGGGCCACACCCAGGGAGGCAAAGCCAGTCTCACCACAGAAGGGCAGGGTGCCTGGGGAGAGCGGGTGTCCTGGCTGAGTGCTCTGGCACCTGAGATTGGTTAAGATATTAAAATTTTACAAACCGAGCATCCTGGAAGTCCTGAGTCCATCTTTCCACCTGGAATGCAGGCTCCCTCATGCACACAGAGTGGCCTTGTCAAGATGACAGACAGCAGGATGAGAGGAGAAGTTCAAACGTAACATTTCTAGAAAGGACGACCACACAAACACATGTCTGGGTCTAGATTTCAGGCCTGAGGGAAAGGTGCTGTTTTAAATACTTAGAATTATCGATATCACAGAGTTATTAAGTACTTAAAACTCCAATTCAGAAATTGGAAACATAAATTGAAAGTAGAAACATGGAAGGAACTAAAGAAAAAAAAGCAGAAATCAATGAGCCAAACACCAGAAAAACACTCAAACTAACATTTTAAAAATCTGGCTTGGAAAAAAGAAATCACTAACTTAATCAAGATATAAAATGATACCCAAAATACACAAAACAAGAAATAACAAGGGGGAAATACCCATTTAACATAGAAAACTTAAGAAATCATAAGAAATATTATAACCGTATATAAATAAGCTTAGATGAAAAGTACCACATTTTAGGGAAAACATAATTTACCAAAACTAAAAAACCCCAGTAGCGATAGATCAAATTCCATGGAAGAAATGGAAAAATTTAAGAACTTCCCCCCTCCCAGTAAAAGCCTTGGCTGAGATGGTTTCCTTGGGAACCACACCAAACCTTCCACTACAGGGTTATCCCAGTGCTGCCCACACTGTTCCAGACATGAACAGGGGAGGACAGTGTCCCAATGCTCCCTAGCAGCACATGTATATGAGGACATAAATCTAATCTCACAGAAAGAGAAGATTGTGATAATCCAACTTATGAATTCAAAAACCCTAATGAGCTTGATCACTGCACTGTAGACCTGAAGCTGATGTTGTATAATATTGTATGCCAGCTATAAGTGAATATATATATATATATATATATATATATATATATATATATATAGTCACGGGACGTGGAGTATACTGTGGGAGTGGAGTCAAGGGAATTGTAATAGATATGTATGATATTGGGAGAGAACATGGGGCGGCAGTTGGGGGAGGGGAGTTGTCACTTTGAGGGGTAAAAAGTACAACTATTGCACAAGAAAAAAAAAACCTAATGAGAGATTAGCAAATAGAATCCAACTAATTTTTTTTAAATAGTACCTTGTAATCAAGTAGGATTCGTTCTGGTAATGCAAGGATTATTAAATATTAGGAAACCCATAGATATAATTCACCATATCTTTGCTTTGCTAAGGAGAATAATATTAATGAAAAGTCTTTTAACAATTTCAACACCCATTTCCAATTTTTAAAAAAGATAGGAGTCAATGGGTAATAAGATATACATAATACCTTATTCTAAAAGCTAGCGTTTCTTAGTGGGTAACACTGAGTGCATTTCTGCTAAAGTTCTGGTCACTGGAAGGCTGCCCCTTTATGTCCTGCTCCTTTCCACAGAAGATTAGCTATCACAGCCACACAAGAGAATGATCCAGGGAAGTGGACAGGAGCCATTCAAACTCTCTCCTGTTGTAAAAAACATTTGGAGCTTATCCAGAACCCACAAGAGAAAAATGTGGAACTACCACAAACAGTAAGAAAATTCAGTACAGTCACTAGATAAAACATAACAAAATCAGTCTATATTCCAGTTAGAAGATATATAATGGAAGAGAAGACACCAATTATAACAGCAACAAAAAAGATAAGATACCCATGGCCTTAACAAGAAATGTAAAAATCGATATGAGGAAATCTTTAAAATACTCATGGAAGAAAAGATTTCAATAAATGATAAGAAAGCTTATATTCTCAAACAGATCGAGTCAAAATGTGTGGTTGTTGTTTTTTTTTCTGGATCTAGATAAATTGATTTCAAAGTTTATATCAAAACACAAGTGAGAAAACCCAGGAATAAAACTAAATATGAAGGCCAGTAATGTGGTGGGAACGAATCCAGCAGATATTCAAAAATCCCATAAAGGTTCTGCTATTACAACAGGCCATACAGACTTGACAATTCATGTTTGTGCAGACACACCAGTAGATAAAGCACTCAGAATTGGGCCCAAGTACATGTGGGAAATCTGTGTATGATAAATGTGTCAATTTAAATCAGAAAGAAGTGCAATTCGGCATGGTCTAATAGAATTGATCCAGAACCAGTATTCATTCTGAGCAAGCAACATTATCATGGGAATTTAGGAATGATTGAACACTAGAATTCCTTCAGTGGTGATTCCATCTAGTGAGACAAAGGGCTGCTGGAAGCTCAGGCATCCTCTTAAAGGGCCTGCAAACAGACTCACTCCCTCACAAACACCCTAAGCTCCAACTAAGGACAGCAGCTCAAACTGCACTAGAGACATATGGGAAGAAATTTAATTGTGTGGCTTCAGGACAAAGACTAAAAGTATATTGTTCTGTATTTAGCCTTCCTCCCACACAGCCTGTAGGCACAAGCAGGTACAAAATCTGAATCTGCATTAATCTGGTGAACACTGCTTGCCCCACCCTGGTGACTCTCTGAAACCTCATCCCACTTACCTATCAAACCACCCAAGGCTCTTTCAGTGGTTGTGCCTCATGGGCAGCCAGTCTCTGCCTGAGCTACAGACTTTATTAAAATTCTCCAAGCTCTGTAAGCCCCAGGCATGTGGCTGCTGGCCTCTATGTGCCCTATGTCTCTTGCTGAGTGGTGCTAGGCCTAGCACTGGTGAGAGCTGGCCTTGGTTCACAAAGTACTCTTTCCCATGTGCCTCTGGTCCCAGCACAAGCAGCTACCAACTGTAGATCATTTTGTACCTCTTACCAGGTGGCCTCAGGTCAGGCAAAGGCAGCACCTTGGCATGCTCCAGAGCCCTCCCTAAAAGGCCCCAGAACAAACACACCCAGTGGCTGGCTTGAGACCACAATAGAGAACCACCCAATTAACTCCACAAATGGCACACCCAAAAGGTGGTCTCAGTAGGCACCAGTGCCCTGCTGGGGCAAATCCTGGTCCATGGGGTCAGCTCCCACAGAGCAGCTCATCACTGTGGCTGTGGCCAATTTGCACAACCAGTCAGCCTAAGGATCGTCCATACCCACTGACATGTCAACAGCAATTAAGGCTCAACTACAACAGGAGAGCACACACAACCCATGCATGCAAGGGACACTCCTGGAGCACTTGGCTCAGGCAACAAATAAGACTACTGGGCCCCACAGGATGGCTACTACATAAGGACATTCTGCCAAGACAGGGAGACATAGCAGTTCTACCCAATACACAGAAACAAATGCAGAGAGACAGCCAAAATGAGGAGACAAAGACACATGACTCAAATGAAAGAACAGGAGAAAACTGCAGAAAAAGACCTAAACAAAATGGGGTCAAGCAATCTTCCAGGTACAGAGTTCAAAACACTGGTTATAAGGATGCTCAATGAACTTATGGGAACAGATAATCTCAGTGAGAACATCAACCAAGAGAGAGTAAATGTAAAATAGGACACAGAAACCAAAAAGAGAGCAAGTCAGAAATAAAGAATACAATAACTAAAATGAAGAATACACTAGAAGAGATCAACAGCAGAATAGATTAAGCAGAGTATTGATTCAGCAATTTGGATGACAAGGTAGCAGAAAACATCCAATCTGAACAGCAAACAAATAATAGAATCTTTAAAATGAGAATACTGTAAGGGACATTTGCAACAATATCAAGTGTACCAATTTTCACATAATAAGGGTATCAGAAGAAGAGAGAGAGCAAGGGATTGAAAACCTACTTGAAGAAATAATGACTGAAAATTTCCCTAACCTGGCGAAGCCAATAGACATATGAGTCCAGGAAGCACAGAGAGTCCCAAACAAGATGAACACAAAGAGTCCCACACCAAGACACGTCATAAATAAAATTTAAAATGCTAAAGACCAAAGAGAGAATCTTAAAAGCAGCAAGAGAAAATCAGTTAGTTATGTACTGATTGGGAGTTATAACACTCCCATAAGACTGTCAGCTGATTTTCAACAGAAACTTTGCAGGCCAGAAGAGATTGGCCAAAACTATTCAAAGCAATGGAAACCAAGGACCTACAACCAACATTAATCTACCCAGCAAGGCTTTCATTAAGAATCAAAGGAACAATAAAGATCTTCTCAGACAAGAAAAACCTAAAGAAGTTCATCATCACTAAGCCAGTATTACAAAAAAAGGTTAAAGAGATTTCTTTAAAAAAAGAAGAAAGAAAAAATATGAATGATAACATGGCAACAATTACATACCTATCAATAATCACTTTAATGTAAATGGATTAAATGCTCCAATCAAAAGACATAGGCTGGCTGAATGGATAAGAAAACAAGACCTTTATATATGCTGCTTACAAGAGACCCACTTCAGATCAAAAGACCAACACAGACAGAAAGTAAAGGGATTGAAAAAGATATTTCACACAAATTGAAACAAAACAAAACTGGCATAGCAATATTTATATCAGACAAAATAGACCTTAAAATAAAGGCTATAACAAGAGGCAAAGGACATTTCATAATGATAAAGGAATTGATCCAAAAAGAGGATATAACCCTTGTAAACATTTGCACACACAACATAGGAGCACCTAAATATATAAAGTGAATATGGGTGGACATAGAGATTGACAGTACTACGGTAATTGTAGGGAACTTAATACCCATTGACATCAATGGATAGATCATCCAGGCAGAAAATCAACAAGGAAACAGCCCCCTTACATGATACATTATATTACATGGATTTACTTGTTATTTTTAGAGCATTTCACACCCAAACAGCAGAATATACATTCTTTTCAAGCACACATGGAACATTTTCCAAAACAGGCCACATGTTAGGCCACAAAACATGTTTCAATAAATTTTTTTTTTATGTCTGATCTTAAATTTATTTGTTACTCTTAGAAAGTCTCATTTTTTACTGGACTCAGACTTAGAGGTAGAAGCTCTCAGAGAGGACAGCCTGCATCTCTTGGCAATCTGT